AAGAGAAGAACAGAAAAAAATTTAAAGTGGTTCCTTTTGCATGAATATTGAATAGCGGAGCGATGGATTAAATCGTGAAGAGGAGCAATATAGAATGTGTGAAATTAACACGTAAGAAACACAATAAGAAGAAAATGGACAAATGGCGTTTTCATTGTAAGGTGTCAGTCAATATTCTGTCATAAGTGTACATCATCTTAGCAAATAAGTAATTCTATTTCTATATACTATGGTGTTCTGCCATTATGCACGTAATGAAATTATCAAGATGTACTGACTGATTAAGATTCTGTTGCTGTTGATGCTCGTCAAACAAGGTTCACCTGTAACATCAGGTGAATTAACGCTCTCTCTCTCTCTCCCTCATAGATTCAAATAGATACCGTCTAAGCATTAACAAATACTAGTGAAATTCCAGTCTACTCATCTTCTTTGAATTAAAACAAACCACCGGTTACACTAGTAGTAATCAACAAAATCAATAGTGTATATTAAACTGGGATTTGTGTCAGAATGATTATAAAAGGGAACAAAAGAGAAAGTGTATCCTTTGAAACGCCTATTGTTTAACTTGACAATATACAATCACAATCATCTGCTAACTATTTTGATTTAACTGATAGTGGTAACTCAGTTTCCGACAACATGGAATTAAAAGAGAACACAACAATAAATTCAGATCACCTGTATCAGGATGAAATGGAACGCTTAACTAATACAACAAAACATGAGACACTAGTTGATCGCCAAATAGTACACACATCTAAACTGTACAGTACAGTCACGAAACACATGTGATACGACACAGCTATGTACTATTTTATTCTACTCCATAACATACAATAAAAAAGCGAAAATGTGCACCATGCATAATTAGTCGATTTATTGGTTACTTCCTTGAAATAATTTCACCGACAATACTTCTAACTGTAGGGAAATGGATCACACAACAGTTTGTAGGGAGCGAGAATACATCACATAGATCGGAAGACTCCAGTAGATCAGGACTTCGCCAACGACATAAATTCGAAAACTTACAAGAGAAAATAAACAAAGTCGCTGAAGAAGTGGCAGCCAAGACGCCACTTCAAGTCAATATACAGAAGACACAGGTTTCAAAGATAACCAACCAACCAACTAATCAACCACCACCACCAACAACAATAACAACAACCACAACCGGCACCAATCACTGTCGACAACAGAAATTTCAAAAACGTCACTTCCATCGACAGTCAAGGTGGAATCGCTCAAACTGCTGACATATGGCACAGATGAGGATGTCAAAACCAGTCAGAATTGAAAAGACAAGTCGAAGCTTCATCACTCTGAAATCAGTTTCGAATTCCACGGTACTCCACCGGAGCACAAACGAAAAGATTCGGATTTTCAACATCAATGTTAAGTCAGTCAGTCAGTTACTTCTTCTACATAGGTCAGAAACTAGGCGCGTGAGTCACGAAAAGCTTTTTCAAAAGGTCGTTGCAGACTTTCATCAATAACTGCCTTCCCTGGCTCCCTATTGAAGATGTGATGGCCAGAAAGAATTAGCAGCAATAAACTTTGGGAACGAACTCATCAGTAACCTATTGCTGAACAAATATGCAGAAGAAGATGAAGATGGACTGGACACACATGTTGAGGAGACCATTGACGAGTAGGGCGTCGGTTCGAAGGTGACATGGAGGAGATCGTGTGAGACAGAGAAGATGAGGGACTACGCTATGAGAAGTCGTGGGGCCAGTTAACCTGGACTGCAGAGAATGGGACAAAGTGGAGACGTGCTGCTGAAGCCCTATGTTCTACTCGGAATCCAAGGGAATAATAATAATATTCCATAAAATACCTTATACTAACAGTAGGCAAGAAAAGCTGTCCTTCGATTAATCTACATTCTTGATCTTACCAAAGACTTTAAATTGTTGTATGGATCAAGTGGACGAATATTATTATTACTAATAGCAACTACGCGTTATCTTATCTTTCACTACTCCACGCAGACATACTATTATTATTACTTTACGTGGCGAAAACAATATAATACACGGAAGAACAAACGAATAAAACTAAAAAGCAATTCTGATAAACAAAATTAATTTCTATATGTTACATACTCATAAACACAATAATAAATACAATATTGTATATATATGTATATATATATATATGTATGAAGAGGGTATAGCGCCGAGAAACGGTGCAAGCATAACGGCACAGAAGAGGAGAACCCCAAGAAAGCTCAATTTCTGACTCAGACTAATAAAATTCTCATTAATACTATTATTCATAATAGTAGTAGTAATAATAATAGTGATACTAATAACATCAATAAAGGTAGCGACAGTAACAACAATTCTAATATATATCAAACAAATAGTTATATAGTGTCTGTGAAATCTCTGTATATTTTAGTGTTTTGGTGTATTTCTGTGTGAGGATATCTTATCTCTCCTAACTGATGGTCAAATAAATGAGCAAATTACCCACACATACACATCAATATTAACTGTGTACTATTTATTAATGAGTAATAAGAATGAATAGTCCACTAGACAAAGGAGAAGGAAAAACAAATCTGAGAAAAAGAAAAGAAAAGAGGGGACTGTGTTCATCATCTAGGGAATATATTTATTTTTCTTTACACTTCTATCTGTTGTATAGGCTACAACAACAACACATCATCAACATACACGAAGTTTACAAGGAGGTAAACAGGTAGTTGAAGAGAAGAAAGTGAATTCAATTAAACTTGAATTATTTATCCTGTGTTGCAGAACTCATTGTAGAAAGACACGCGGTTATATGTATATATATATATATATGTCCTCAATTGAAAGGGTAGTTTTCACAATTTGAAAATGTAATAAATAGCAAGAGGAAATGACAGACAAGTATTATGTATGTAGTATGTATGTACGTATGTATGTGTGTATGTGTAAGTGTGTGTACAGAAATCTTTAATCCCCTTCCAAGTAAGCTGACTATTTGTAGTTAGTATGTTTCTTCATATTAACATCAAAGCAAACTTCAAGATTAGAAATTAGCCACTACAAAAGACTCTTTTCAAATTCTATGTAATATAATATTCTTGCTGAATAATCTCAGATGAAGATAGGATGCCTTATGAATGCATGATTAGAATATGTACGTTGTACTACATACACAACATTACTCAAGTCCAATATCTTTATAAGCACATATCTACTGTAAATATGACTTGTGCAAACAAAATGGCATATAGTCAATAAATTATAATGATAATATGAATAGAGTTCAGAGAGTATTATCAAAACTTTTCACAGTAGATACACAAGGTGTATTTAATAAATTGAACCACTGTTTTCAGAGAAGAATAAAGATACAAGCATTTGTAGCTTTTATGTGCACATGTATATATTTGTTCACAAATGTATAGATGAGCAGATGTACAGATCGATAACAGGTGAGTGACAGTGACAGTCGAAGAACATTTATTACTTTTATTAATCATTCCTTGTGAAAATAGACAAATACACAGTAGAAACTGGTCAATGTATTTGGAAATAGTCGGGGAAAAAGCGAATGAATTTTGTGAGGTAGATAAAATCCAATGAAATAATATGAATGTGTATTTTATGTTACTACTAATACTACCACTATACATACATAAGGATAGGTGGAGAAAACGGATAAACGAACTAGTGTACAAACTGAAAATCAGAACATAGAATTTTTGCCAGAATAAGAAACAATCTTTTTTCTTCTTCGTATATAACATTTTCTGTATCTACCTGAAAAATGAAGAATTTCGCTAACTAATTTTATACAATTTAGAAGTGTAATAGACAAAACAAACTGATACAAGTTGTCTGAATAGAATCTACTGGAAACCAATGTGAGAAAGACATGATTTATCTTGTCAAATAAGTTTAACTACTGTCATAATATATAAGTAGGTAGAAAAATATGCCGAAAATTTGGAAAAGCCAGAAAAGTGTCTATTTATAAGTGCAAAGGTGTACGCATATACTTATGTACGTATGTGTAGGCCAGTGTAGATTGGTTTGGTTTAAAAAGAGCGTGTAAGCAAGTCGGAGAATAAATAAGACAAGACAGGACAAAACTTGATTCTTCAAAGAATGCATACGTACATGCTGTATATGCGCACTGTGCGTCTTTGTGATGTGTGAGTCACAATCCATACCTTTATTTTATTTTACTTTTTTTTTAATGCTTTGTTTCGAGAAGCATTCATCTCTTTATTCCCTTTTCATTTTTGTTTTCTACTAATTTTTTTAAAGCCATAGACAATTGGATAATCCTCTGACTAATAATATTTGCTAAACAGCTGCCTCATGAAAATTGAAATAAAGGAGAAAATAGTCGGATATTTTGTTGTTGTTGTTGTTTTTATTTATATTGTCCGTCTGTTGTTTAGTTTTTAAGTGTTAAATGAGTTCCACTATATTGAATAATAACAATATATATTAGTAGTTGTGCAAACAAATGCATTCAAAGTGAATATATACATATACATATTACATGATATACTCACTATCCCAGGGATGTAAGAGTAAACAAGAAACTGAAGAAGAAGAAGAAGAATGAACGGGATAGATAGTCTGAGAACAATACAGAAACACATAGAAAGAGTAAACCAAACCACTGAAAGAAAGACAACGTAGAAACAGATGAGACAAATCCATAGTACAACTTCATGAAGAGGGAGGAAAAGAAACAAACAAACAAACAGAGAAGGCTGTCTTCTATGCTTCCAGTTCACCTCTCTGAGATAGATGGACAGATAGATAGATAGATAGACAGACAGACAGACAGAGAGGAAGAAACAAAAAAGAAGGACCTGTGATAGATAAACTCATTGATCACAGGATGACTTATACCACACATATGCATCACCGAACCGGAGAAACTGTAGGATGTGGTGGGGTGGGGTGAAGGAATATATGTGTTTTGTAACAGGGACACATTTTACACCTTTTGTTTTTTTATTCTTTGTAAATTCATTGTCCATTTAATTGAGTTGATTGTTGTATTTGTACAGGATGACTAAGTTCATCATTACTGTTGCCATGATGATGATGGTGATGATGAGGATGAGTAGTGGCTGTTGTAGTAGTATTAGTAATAGTAGAAAGAGCTGAGGGATGATGTAGATGACTTGATAACTCACTTTTACTACTATCACAGTTACTCAAAGCAACTTTAGTACTGAACAACAATGATGCAACATTTGTATGCTGACCACTAATAATAGATTGACTAGTATTATTTACATTTGATAGTGAATTCGATTCATCTATCGTTGTACTGATATTATTATTACTATTACTATTATTGTTTATAGATCTCAATGCCTCCATACTTGTTAATGAAGTAAATGTTTGTGTGGGTAAGGCAGAATAAAGTGGACTCAATGTTGGTGTTAAAAGGAAAGATTGTTGAATAGTATTACTACCAATAATACTACCACTACTACTGCTGCTGCTGCTGCTATTATTATTATTACCATTGTTATTATTATTATTGTTGTTACTAATACTACCAACACTACTGTTATTACTACTTGCAGAAGTTAAATTTTTTAATAATTTCCATGTTGACGGTGTAAGTATAGGCGACAAATTTTGTAAATCATTCGATGACCAAAAGCATGATGTTGATGTATTTGACAATGATGGTATCACTTGATTTACACAATCAGCTACTTTAGATAATGCTTGACGTTGAGCTTTCAACATATCTAATGGTTGAGCTGATGTTGCAGATGCTGTTGTTGTTGCTGTTGACAATGTTGATAACGGTAGAAGAGTTGATGGTCGGGAAATAAGGCGTGTTGCGCTTGTTGTTGTACCTACCGATGGTGTCAGAGTGGTTGTTGTTGTTGTCGTTGTCGTTGTTGCTGTTGCTGATGGTGTAGAGCCAGTAATTGTAGTGATAGTATTAGTACTAGTAGTAGTAGTAGTAGCACACCTAGATGCCCCACTGGCCTCAGGTTCCGGTTTAAGCACTAAAACTGATTGATTATAATCTTCATCAGTACTGAGTATAAGACAATTAGTATTATTATTACTTTTAGTGATGATAGAATTGTTATCATTGCTACAACTACTACTAGTAGTAGTAGTATAGTAGTAGCAGTAGTAATGCTGGATGAAGTGGCATTCGTCGCAGGAATCGCAGCACCAACAGTGATTACAACAGAATTATTGGAAACAAAAGGTAGAGATGATGATGATGATGAAGAAGAAGACGTATTAGGTCGAATATTATGACAGCGTATATCTAACTTAGGCGGGCAAGGATGAATATTTACAAGATTTGATATTGGTTTACAGCTGTTACTGGTAGTAACAGTAGTCAGTGTAGTCGAAGAGTCAATGGTGGAAGAAGACGACAGTGACGCAACAGGCACTATATTCTCACCATCACAATATCCACTATCCAGCATTAATTCATCTGTCTTTAAATTATCTGCATAATTTTCAAACGATCCAGAATTATCTGAACAATTTTTACTCAATGATAAAATTTTCTCAGCAGCTGGACAACCTGCAATCTGGAAAGAAGAAAAACAAAGTGAAAGAAAAAAAACAAAGACATGAAAAAGTGGATTTCAAAGCACAGAATTAAGGCTGTACATTTTGTTTCTCACTTTTCTACACACACAACTAGATGGAGATACAGTGGACAATTCTTTATCCATTTAATACTAGACTCTAGAGAAAAATGCACACCTTTAATATTTTTTTGGTTAGTGGGATTATGGGAAAGGCAAGCAATTACTGAATTTCAATCATAACTAGTTAAACTATGAAGTATGTTGAACACAATAGCCTATAGCTGTCAAGTGATGGTGTGCAATTAATAGTGTTCTCTGAGCTGGTTGGTTTAGTTGCGGAGCTTTCGTCGTCCGCCTTCCTGGACAACACCTTCAGCGCAATATTTAGCATAAAGTGAAATGATTTAAATTTCTTCATGAGTGATATAATTGCGTCTCCTGGTAACCATCTTTACATATGTATTGACCATTTCCTATTGACTTGGATTTTAAACTTTCTGGTCACCTGACTTACTTTTTATTAGTTGGTATATTTCGTCTATATTAACGTGCTTGTTAATTGCATTTTCGTTTGAGTACCAGGCTTCTAGGAATTAATTCCCTGGCACTTTTAGTGTTTCCTCTGTCTAAGATTTTGACATTATCCCAATCAAATTGATGTCCATAATTGTCTATATGCATTGATACTAAAGAATATATATTGTGTCTTTTCACGGCTGATTTGTGTTCTTGGATTCTAATTCGAAGGGGACGCCCACTTTGGCCGATGTTATGTGATGATGTGATTATTTTTAAAATGTATTCAATGAATGACCGTGTCTTACAAGTTCAAAGATATATTGATATAAGGATAAAAACTGGGACACGGTGGTAGAGTATAACTCCATTATGCACAAAATTTCATTTTGATTCAGTCACACAGTGTTATACAGTAAGTAATATTTACTGATGCGACAACGTTTCCAGCACAAATTATTGCTGCTCACAATCATATCAAGGCACTCGCTCACACAATTTCACTTAAATATACATGAGTAAAAATTGATGATTAGACGTTTGAATAGCAATCAATATAAGTAAGATAAAGTACATTCGGAAATAGTATTAGTGTCATCAATCAAATACAATCAGATGGGAAATAAGATGTTTTTACAGTAGAAATAAGTAACTTGTTAGAATGTGTGTGAATTAAAATGGAATTTTAAGATTATTTATTATCCTCCTCTGATTTGACTGATAGTAATATCTTCCATATCTCTGGTATTTGCGTTGAGTCACTTCTATTGCATGTGTTGGGTGTAGACTCGATGAACCAGGTAGGATTCAGTAATCAACCTCCCTCTCTCTCCACCTACCTATGTTACTTTGTAGAATTTTGACTCTGTCCCACCCTGTTGTGTGGTAGTGTCAATGCATGCAGTGAGATTGCTGAGTTTTATTTCTAAATTACTTGTTTTCGTGGGGTCAGTCATTCTAACCTTAGCTAGATTCTTATGTTCTGGCTATCTGACTACACCCGATCTACTAGTTTGACCTACGTACTTTGTAAATTATATTATTTTGTTTAATTGGGTTCACCGGGTCCTTTAGCCTACAGAGCTTGTCCCACCTGAATGAGTTTGTAGGTTTGAATGCTACCCTAATTCCTGCTTTATTGATAATTCTACGTAGGGTCTCAGATGTCCCTTCCTTATATGGTAAAACTGTAGATATCTTATGTTCTTTTTTATTTATTCAAAAATAAATATTTTTTTAGATTTTTGATTACAGCTTAATTCCACACCGTATTTTTTGGTACGGGTATGAAATTGTCAGCATGTGATATCGGTAGTCCAAATGTTGCAGGCCCACCATAGATATCGGGTGTGCGTCGGCAGGGGATCGAACCCGGACCATGTGCATGGTCGGCGAGAGTCCTAATCACTGTGCTACCAACTCACAAATATTATGTTTGGCAAATAGATTATTATTGATAAAGAAAGAAAGCACAAATCTGCAGCGTAAAATGATGTCATCATTCTATTTTACAGGTTCTAATAAGCTGCAAGCTACCTGAAATTACAATGGTTATAAAAGAATAAAAATAACATACGTCAATGTTTGAATGGTAGTAGAAAAAATAAATATTAAAATTAAGGCATCCGAAATCTGTAAGCAATATAGTTTTTTTAGTTAAAGTACCCTGTTAACATCATCTCCAACTATGTTTATAAATTTACATGCACTTGCCATAGCAAGTACACTGGAGAGACAGAAAGAAGAGCTTCTATCTGGTTTCCCGAACATATCTCAAGAAACTTATTCTTATTATGGAAGCAGATATCAGCAAAGTGTAATTATCAGACACCTAGTGGATACAGGGACATTTCGTCACAGTTTCCAAATTTTTCAAAATATTAAATATATATAAAGGACAGAAAATTTACTGCGATCTGCTGCAGCAATTGCAATCAAACGTTTCAAACCAAACTTATGTATGCAGAAGGAGAGTTTCAGCAATCTCTCACTAACTCGGTAACTACTGCATTCCGACTATACTGATTAGTCATCCATATTAGAGAATTCATTTCACTGTGCAAGTTTTCAATCTGATGCTCTATAACCTTCTTGAGTTACTATGTAAACCTACATGCTAACAATGTTTATTGGATCCTTATGTTTTCTGTCTTTGCTCCTCTCTCTCTTTTTCTACCTTAAAAGCACATAAATTGATAGTAACTTCAATTAAAAATTGTAATGCTTACACATTTCGGATGCGTTAATTTTTGTAACCATTTTCTCTACTACCGTTCAAACATTGAAGTATGTTATTTTCAATCCTTTATAACCGCTGTAACTTCAGACAGTTTGCAGTTGATGAGAACCTGTGAAATAGAACAATATCATTTTATACTGCAGATTTGGTCTTTATTTGTACATGAAAATTTACCAACGGAACCAAATGTATGAAATGCATTATTATTATTATTATTATAAAATGTCTGTATTAGTATTTTTTTCAATTCTTATTAATTTTGTCTATCTGTCTTGTAATATTAGAAGAATTATTATACTGTATTTCTCATACGGGATCTCATGTTGTTCTATCTATCTACCTACTATCTGTCTTTCATGTAGAGAATTAGAAATGCAACCAGTGAAAACTTAACACGTTCTAGGGGAAATAAAACACAGTAAATTATAGAAATGTATTCGGTGTTTACTTCATTAATTATTATTAGTAGGAGTAGTAGTTGGCTGATGGGCATGCCAGAAAAACCACCAATAGGTAAAGGTTAGAAGTCATGGGCTACTAAGTGGGGTCCCAGTGGAGGAATGGTCTACGAGCTTGCCTCGCAACCAAGAGATCCTGGGTTCGAAACCCGCTGGGTGTGTATTGCAGATGAGTTTTAAACTAGGACGAAACAGTCGTTCACTACTCCCTAGTTCTCAGTGGTTCTCTAACTGATATCATTCCGTGACCAGAGTTGAAACAAATCAAATCCCTACGAAAAAAACTGTTGAAAATCTCTAATTTGTGATTTTTAAAAACACCCAGAGTTAATCTAAAGTAATCTATAGGTTATCACAAATAAACAGATCTCCTAAACAGCAAACTAAAATTATTGCATAACAATCAACATTACCCTACTTCATTCCTAACCCTCAGATAATAAACAAGAAAACCAAAAAAAAATAGAATAAAAACAATATTACCAAAAACGGAAACTATTTGTAGCTGAAAAAAATAGCTGACGAAAATATTCTGGTAACCTTCGAAAGGCTTTTTCCCCATTAGGCTTGATGGAGTCACTCAGTCAGATGTCAAGAATTGACCAAAAACCGAACAGCTGTCATGACCAGTAGCAATGGAAGATGATAAAAATTAGAACAAAATGTGAAGTGATGTGTCACCTAATATTACGACTAAATGGCAGCTGATACATGGTCAATGCATTCTGAGCCAGATTCACAAGACTCTTGAACCAGCACTTTTGGTTAATATACAGTGCCCAAGCAAGTGATCTGTTTTACTCTGGGCGGTTAAAGGCTACCATTAAATGAATTGGCTAATTGGTTGGTATATGCTGTAGTTTAGCCACCCCCCTCCTTCAGCTTTTTCTGGTGTTTTCAGTCATCATCGCACTTCTTTTATTCTTTAAGTTTCAATTAGGGCATAGAACTCCAAGCTTTGAAGTCTCAATAGCAGTGGTGTTAAACTTCCCCTCTTGTCCAGGCTTACCATGTGCTATGGTTTGGTTTAGGAGTGCGTTGATAGAGAACCAAACCCGAACCTCCTGAATGGCTGGTGACACAATTCTACCCATTCATGAAAGCTACAGATAAATAAAAGCTTCATTAAATGATTTGATTACTCCTACTAATTTTAAAATACTACGGCGTGACCAAAATTGTTATCAACCTCATATAACCATAGCTATATTACAATGGCAGGTTTCACGTGATGCAAAGCGGAAAACTCACCGATTCTCGCCTTTGAAATGTAGACAGGAGTAACACAGGGCTGCCTATTATCACTGATGATATTCCTAATTGTGAGGAAATGGATCACACAACAGTTTGTAGGGAGCGAGAATACATCACATAGATCGGAAGACTCCAGTAGATCGGGACTTCACCAACGACTTATGTCTAATGTTACATAAATTCGAAGACTTACAAGAGAAAATCAACAAAATCGCTGAAGAAGTGGCAGCCAAGACGCCACTTCAAGTCAATATACAGAAGACACAGGTTTCGAAGATAACCAACCAACCAACTAATTACCCAATACCACCACCACCAACAACAACAACAACCACAACCGGCACCAATCACTGTCAACAACAGAAATTTCAAAAACGTCACTTCCATCGATAGTCAAGGTGGAATCGTTCACACTCCTGGCGAATGGCACAGATGAGGATGTCAAAACCAGTGGGAATCGGAAAGACAAGTCGAAGCTTCATCACTGTGAAATCAGTTTTGTATTCCGTGGTACTCCACCGGAGTATAAA